TAGCTGACTCGGCAAACGTTGTTTTGCCATATAAATGATTTCTAGAGGAGTCGGAACGCGTTCAAAAATCGTTTGACAGGTTGACAGGTACAGTTTGTATGGGAAAATAAAATTGTTGCTATTTCGATTTTCCAAGCAATTTTTCCATAATTTCTCATCGTTCAAACCTTTCCTGGACTGCCACAAATATTTCAAAACCAAAATTAGCCAAATCGGTCCAGCCGTTCTCGAGTTTTAGCGAGACTAACGAACAGCAATCCATTTGTATATATAAGATGTAGTCAAGGTTTTTTAGCATATAGTTCGCTTATAATTATGTAGTCCAGATTTTCAAATTTTAAGTACTATATCCGTTTCCACCTGAGATATATATATATTTTTTGATAATCTAGGTATTTTCCGGATGTATTTTTTAAACGCTACTAAAATAGTGGTGTCTTTGAGTGACTCAGATTAACACGGCTAGAACAGTAATACTTCCGTGATAAAGTCGGTTTCTTGCTTAATTTCCAATGGAAGCAAGAAGAAGGAATAGTTTCGAGAAGTTTCCATTTTACTAGCGCCGATTGGGTCCGGCGCTCTATCGTTTCGCTTATGGTTAATTTCCTATTCCCCCCCCCCCCCCCCCCCCCCCCCCCCCCCCCCTCCATTTACCGCCGTACACCTGAATCAATTGAATTAAGCCCCAGCACTTTTAATTACAACTTTTCGATTCGGAACTTGAGAGCAGTTACATAACGCGGGAGGCGCCACCTACGGAGGATCGTTGCGAAAACTTTTCCAATTACAGACCGATTTTATTCGATTGTAGCATTTTTCCCCCCCCGAGTTCAATTCTGGATTTTGTTCAGCGGATAGCAAATTCGTAATCTGTAACTTCATGTTCCCGACCTTAATCGAATTACTAGGTCTTTAAATTTTGTATTTTTTTTTCCCAAAGTCACTCTCGACTATAGCTTTGAGATATTCCTTTGATTCATCCCATTACTGTAGGTAATTATTAATTCGTTACGCGATCAATTAAGAAATATACTAAAACTTCGCTCGATCGGCAACTTATTAACAATAATAAAAGTGTTTCCCTCGTGCTGAAAAGGGGAACAGATCTTACTTAATAATAATTCCACAACAGACAAACGGTAACAGAATGCAAAAGATACTTGGTGCCTGAATATTTTAGTGCCCTTCTCAAACAGCGAAATTGATGACGCGTTTATAAACCGCCCCAATTAACGAGTATATTGAATTAAAGGCGAGCGCCCGGACACTGACCTATCACGGCTCGACGCGTTTATAAACCGCCCCAATTAACACTTCCCTTCTGGTAAACACCCGTTTTACGGGATGAAGCGTCGTTCTACTGATCTTTTCGATTGAATCCCGCGGGTTCTAATATTTATTTATTTTTGTATGACCGTTGACACTTTATGATAGTGATGCCCTAAAAAACGATTACCTCTCTCGCTATTATAACATTTCTTATCCTCTAATCCTTATTGAGTTTTTCCTGAAACCGGGACACAGTTAACCTTATGTTAATTGACACTAGACAAAACACAAAGCCATAAATACTTTTACCGGCATTTGGAGCCGCAATACGTCCTCATGTGTATAAATTCAAAAACATTTGGTTGAGACTTTACTGAAATCATTAGAAAAAACCGTTCTACATTTATCATAACCAGCCCTTACATTATCCTACATCATCATTGTCAAATAAAGGAAACGGCTACGTCATTGCAATAAAACGCTTCGGTAAAGCGTAACGTAACCGTTTCTAAAAACGTTCATAACGCACAGAACAAACATTTGGAGAGCGCTAAAAGAGTGAAAAGAGTCGGCTTTTCCCGCGCAAATTTCGCCCAGCCGAAGTTCGACAACCGCGCCCGGCCGGTCAAGGCCATTAATCATCCGGACACCAAACCGAAACCGAACCGGACCGAAGTCTCCAGTTTCTAACGACGCGCCGAGTGACTCGCCCGCCGTCCGGCCAGTCCATTATTATGGAAAAAGGTTTTCCCGCCATCCGCGTTTTTGCGTTCTCGCACCGCTCCCCCACCGCCATAAAGCTTGATGTACGATGGAAGTTCGCCGTTCTATTTAAACGCGATATTTATTTATTTTTTTTTAAAATGTATAAAGACATCAGTTACGTGTGTCGAGATATTTATGAATGCCACGACGAATCAAAGATCATAAGTTTAACTGATCACAACTGTCGTTTGATATAATCCGTCAGAGAGCCCGCTAATAAACTCTGCACCGGCGCACTTTAGCGCTGAGTCCATAAACTCAGCTTACTCACTACGTTATTGGACTTTAGGGGAACGAAAAATACTACTCTATTACTATTGGTAATATGTCTTATTTGAATTAAGCTATTAAAACACATACATCACTTAATGTCTTAAAATTGTTGCTGCGACATTATATATGAATATATTTATCTAGTAGACGGCCGTAGTTAGATTTCTAATATTTATTGGTTAGTAAATTACCTTTCAGAACAATAAACGAATCTAAATATATTTTAGTAAAAAAGAACAGTTTAAAATACCTATTATTTTCTTGTTTTTTGTTTATCGAAATGGATAGAAAACTGAATTTTGAAAAATCTCCTTTCACCAGAACTACACAATTCCCCTGGGCAGTAAACGTTCTAATATAAAAACAAAGATGGCGCGCAAAAGCGCTCATAGCTTTTAGCCTTATTCGGTGATGGCAACCTTACGTTCGCTCTATAAATTTTTCATGAGGCCGCGCGGGCAGCGAGGCGATTGAAAAAGCGCGTCCCGCCTCCCGCCGGCCGCCGATTGGCCGGGGCTCCTTAAGAATCGATGCGTCCGGAAACGCGACGGACGAGAATTCGAAATTGGAATCGCACGAAACGTCCGGAACGCGCGCATATTCCGAGCGCGCGATTTATACGAGACGAAACGGCCAACGGGACAAAGGGCGCGAATTGATTTGGACGACTGTAGATTTCGGAACAATATTTAGAACAGATTTATCAAAATGCACTGACATATGCGCATTAAATTCAAACGTGATTTAAATTAATCATTTTTACACAAAACACGAATAAAATTGCTGTAAGTATATTAATCGTGCTTAAAAAGTCTCTACGGAAACATTCGTGCATTCGCACTTGACCGATTTCTTTTAACTTTATATTAACTTAAAATCACCATCATTTTACAGACCATAATATATAATTAACTGTAGTTTCATCCAGTTCAGTTGTAGCTATTACATAGCATTTTATCGCACAAATCTCCAATGTGGTTCTTTAACTTGATACAACTTTTTTTATTTATAAACCGATTTAAAAAAAACCTAACACAAAGTGTTAGGTCAAGCTTACTACAATTCACTAGTGAAATTGAACCCAAAACGGTTAAGCAGTTTCTGAGATTAGGGCGCACAAACGCACAGACAAAAACGCAACAGACAAAAATTCAACTATCATTGTTTCAGGTTCTACCGTGTTGACAAAGGACCCCGATAATAGTTTTTCTCAAATATCTTCCATGTACAGACGTTTTTATTATATGTTTAGATATTATAATTGGTAATTACCCATATTTGTAAATTATCGGGATACGTCTTACAACGTAAAATGTCACCCGATCACCGTCCACTACGATCGTGTCAATATTAACAAGACTTGGTACGGAAAACCTACGGTGGTAGGGCCACGCAGCAGCCTCGGCTGTTGCACGAATGGGCAGGCCCGTCCGGGTAAGTACCACGACCTCACAGAAGACCGGCGTAAAGTGGAAGTATGACAAATACTTTCGCGTTTCGTCTGGTGAGTGAGGTAGCCGGAGCCCAATTTTCAAAAGGTTGTCAACGCATCTGTAACCCTCGAGTGTAGCAGATGTCCATGGGCGGCGGTATTCACTTAACATCAGGTGAACCGTCTGCTCGTTTGACAACTTTTCGCAAAAAAAAAACTTAGCTAAACTCACGCATGTGGTCCTACCAACTGTGGAGGGCCTTAAACCCGTTGGTTCTAGCTAGTCCACCTGTTCTGCCTTCGATGAAGCTTTAATAATCTCGGGAGTGAAAGCGTTAACATCAGTTAATACGAGATACAAGACAAGAATATTTACAAGTAGAACACTTTTTCTGCAGATTTCCTTGCTCTGAAAAAAAACTCCGCTCGTCACGGCAGATCCGTCCTCAAAGCTAATTCGCTAAAAGGCTATCTCCTGGATTCCATCCCGCTCATTAAGGTAGTCCCAGAGCAGGCTCCTCGACTCTTGCCTCCCTAATTATGAAATAATTGAAAGAGTCGAAATCTTTTAATATTTATCAGTCAGGATTAAGTCATTTGCCGTCGACACCGCTCTACCTTAAGCGCAATTAATTACAAAGCCTTTTTACGTGTTCGTCCAATTCAGTAATCCACACTTACATATTTTAGCCCTGCTTTCCCTGGAATAAAACCTAAATGATCCTGACAATCCTTAATTACTCCGTGGCGCATTTGCCAAGGTATTGGCTTCGGGGTGGGGGGTCGTGGATTCGATTCCCACACGGAACAACTAATTGTGTGACCCACAGATATTTGTTTCTTATCTGGGTGTTTGTCCGCGTGAAATTTATATTCGTAAAACGTCCTCACGACACAGGATAACGTTATCCTAAAGCAATGTTTAAAAAAAAACGATTTTCGGATCATTATCATTGATCCATTTGTCATACAGTGTACTACAGTAATATGTAAAGCCAATTCAGAACTTAGTATTTTTTCAAACTTGTTTTACAGATCGAAAAAATAAATTGTAATATTCAAACTTGTAATTCGAAATTCAAAGAGATCGGCGGTCGAATCCTGCGGAGTGGTACTCATCGTCTAATTGGTCGAGGAGGACCGGTATTACGGCGTACATTAGCATAGGAATCAATTCCGGCGTGTCCACTACCGCAGTTGCGGGGGGCGAGCGGGGGTGGGTTGCCGTACGATTGAATAATCAATCGGCGTAATGCAAATTATGTGGGCAACGGGCTCCCGCCCGGAGGGCCTGTTTTTAGGCGCTAAGAAGTTCCCGACGGCAGCGCCGCCATTAATATTCGTTAGTTAACAACGCGTTAGCCGTTTCGAGAAACGGATTTCGTTTGTGTATTATTTACGAACGGAATCGGGGATGATTGCTCCCGGCATGGAAGCCCATTAATGGTAATGCCGCTGTAATTAAAATAATTTCAAGAAGCTTGTTTGTATACTGAGTTTCGTATGGATCAATATTAACTGTCAATGTAATGATGGTTTATATAAATGATGGTGTGACCTATAAGTGGGCATTAGGAACTTCGCCTACTTTCAAATTAGTCATTTCCTAATAACTGTTAAACAATAGACAACAAAGATCGTCTATTCTGCTATTTCTTTCTTCTTCTTATTTCGGCGAACTAAAATTTTCGAATCTATTGTTGATTTTTACTTTTGTGCAGCCCTTTGTGAATTTGGAGGAAAACTAAAATACCAAAGCGAATTACATTTATATCATATCTTTTTTTGTTACGTTACAAGCTGTCAAGCGAGCAAGCGGTTCACCTGATGTTAAGCGATTACCGCCGCCCATGGACATCTACAGCACCAGAAAGAATTGATATGCAAATGCGTTGACAACTTTAAAGAAAGTGGACTTCAGCTACCTCATTCAGACTTCACGCGCGCCGGTCTTCTGTAACTTTATTGCTGCGCAACTGGCTGCTGCGTGGCTTTAAACGTGAATTTAAACTTAATAAAAGGATTCCTGTATTAACTGATGTTTTTGCTTTCAGTCCCGAGACTATTAAAGCTTCATCTGACGCATAACCGGTGGGCTGGCCAGAACCCACGGATTTGGGCCCTCCGCTGTAGGTAGGGCCGCGCATGTGTAACAAAAGGATAATTCGGATAACGGGTAACTGTAACGGCTTGCGATAAACGAAATACAATTAAAACTATCCCAGTCGACAAAGAATGACCCAATTAAAACGCTCATTATTGGCCGTCGGAAAAAAACGCCCGCGGCGGCTCCGCTCTAAACCGGTTAGATCCGGTTCTTTCCGGATTAAAGCCGAATGCAACGGGGGAGGCGGATTTCGAGTGTAAAGCGAGATTACGCGAGTTGACAAGTGGCCGAAACTGCGACTATTGTTCCGGCGAGCTCGTCCCGGATCTGCGGATCTTCCAGCTCATTATATCCGCTAATCCGCGCCGCCACCTGGGATTTAATCCGGGCGTTCTTTTGTGCCCGCCCCCTCCAACGGCCCCCGACTGCGACACTTTGATTCCGTACGAAAGGTTAAAGAGCCCAGTTTATTTGTAAATCCCATTAGAAACGATGGCATTCGCCCCCGCGTGTACAGTTCGATTAGCCTTCGAGCCTTTTGTGTTGCTCGAAACGCTCTGCTCACAGCGTACTAACGCTTTTGCTTCAGACTTCTATTAGCATTACCGACGAGACAGCATTATCTTTTATCACACTGGTACCTCGAAATTTTAAATTACAAATTTAGTCTATCAGCCGCAATAGAGACACCAACTTAATTAACGTTAAGTTTACTTCTATGTCAAGTGTACAGTAGTCGTGGCTCAATGTCGGGACGCGTTAGCCAATTCGCTTGTGACGCGAATACGATTCCCGGTGCTTATTACAGTAGGATTGTAGACTACAATTTTAAGTGCCGATTTATGACGAACTCGGTGGCGAAGGGGAACATCGTATGGAAATGTGAAATCTTTCGAGGGGTCCCGTGGCGTACTGAACCCTGATAACATATTATTTATATGAATTTTTTTCTTTAGTATCTTTTCAATATGTCTTCTTTTCAATTAGTCTTAAAGATTGAACAACGCCAAGGAACGATTTAATGCTGGTCAAAACACACGCCCGCCAGACGACTAATACCATAAACATAATCTAATACCGGACGAACAAGACGAGAAGCATCTGTTTCCATTTCGCCACTCCGAGTAGAGTATCACGGAAACACAAACGGATTCCTATTTCGCCCGCGAATCCATAATTCAGAGATGTAAATCGCGCAGCGGACGGCGCGCGGCCGCCACTTCCTGCGACCGTTGAGCCTCGGCCAAGTGGCGGGGGATCCCCTCGAAATGCGGCGGTTCGAAAGATTTCGTTTATTCGGAGCGACGGATTAGACGTCGCTTAATTTTCGCCTGAGACAGAGTGTTACCGCTACAATAAAGAGCGGTTTTTCATATGGAAAACGTAGTTGTTCACAAAAAAAATTTGTAGCTACAGAGAAAGTAAAGTGTGGAAATGACTCTTGCTCTGCACTTGCAAATCCCCTGGCTGCTGCTAATTTTATACTTAAATACTTTTGTGTAACTTGTATAATAAAAAAATAGAAAAGATCGCAGTGTTTCTTGCCGGTTCTTCTCTGGACTAGTTTAGTGAACCGCTGGTAGTTTTTTAACGTTTATTAAAAGCTTAAAACAAAACTATGTTTGAATATGTGAGGAAAATGAAAGATGGATAATTATGAAATACAGCAAGTTTTAAGTACGCACATTTTGCCATTCTCTTTTGAGGTTAATTTGCAAGTTGTAATAAACTATAAACGTTATTTATGTGGATTCCAGAATCTGTTTATGATTACATTAAAACAAACGAGCAAAACATTCTCTCTCTAAAAACATAATCTCTATAAATGTGACATTATCTTGAGTAATAGAAGCATAAAAGATTATGTAAATATACTAGCGACCCGCCCCGGCTTCGCATAGGTGCAATATATTATACATATAAACCTTCCTCTTGAATCACTCTATCTAGTAAAAAATTCAAATAATATCTAGAAAAAATCCATCATCACATAGATCCGTTGCGTAGTTTTAAAGATCTAACCATACATACATACGGACAGACAGACAGTGGGACGACTTTATTTTATACTATGTAGTGATATTTATCGTAGTTGTAACATTAAAATTTCTATAAACTTTAATGTTTCATCTTAAGTGCAGAGATTACCACTATAAAACTTTTAATTTCTAGTAGCAATGATGACATCTCTCGTTCGAATTATCGTTGTAAAACGATATTCTGAATTGTTTGTATACTGTAAAAGATATAACAATGGATGCGTCAAGCATTCTAATGCGAAAAACAATAAACGACGTTGATATTTTCATCGGTGTGGCAATCAGCCGTTTAGATTAGTGGTTAAAGCGTCAAGGCGCGAATCCCATAAGAGGTGGGTTCGGCATAGCGACAACAAACTTTTCGTACTTTCTTTCTACATTTTTTAATATCTTAATTGTGTCTATTCCTTAATTAGTGTACGTGAGACGTCTTCCTATAACTACAAACGTAATATTTGCTTCCTTTCTTAATCATCTCAACCATCAGCGCTATATTTACACGAAGAAGTCCGTTAAATATTCACATCTCAAAAGCCACTGCAGCTTTGAAACGAACGGTGAAGAAGAATTAAAAAGTACCCGGCTCCCACCCATGCACGAGAGGTCCCTGGTTATTTATGGGTGGCACCTGCGGCCGACAGTTTTTCCGGACTCTAGCTAGAGCTGGCTTGCTGTCGCGACACTTCGTTATGGACGGCTACGCAAGCGACGCCGGCGTGGAGTCGCCGACATCGATCGTCGCCGATTGTACGCGGATTTTGCACGAGACCTTTATTGCAATATATTACGCCACGCGGGGTTAAAACATATCGGACGCGTATATACGCACACTTTTAGTATGCAAGAGATTATGCATGCATTGTTCAGCTTTATCTCTATGTTTTACTCGTTCGGTATTAAGATGTGTTCGGACACACTTGCCTTGATGTTGCACATTTTGGACGCGCCAAAAACGAATTCTCAATATCATCCGCATTACCCTTGGTTTAATACAAATCATCCAAACGTTGCCGCAAAGAAATTACCTACTTTTAGTAATAAGATCGCCCATTGTACTATTGAATTATTAATAACTTTCTCGTTTTATTCCACAGTGTATTTATTATTATTATATTATTGGCGTCAAAATTTCTCGCGATACAATGTAATTGTGTGACAGTCGAATTTAACATTTTTGAAGAAAATAATAATATTTTTTGACTTACGCCTTATAAATACAATTATTTCATGTTACTTTTTTTATTCTTTTTTAAAACCCCAACGTTTCCAACGTTTTTTCACATCTTCGAATAATTATTATCTACATTTGAAAATGGAACACGAACGCGAAACGCTCGCGGACATCGGGCACCCGCGCGGTTTTCCCGCCAACGCGATCGGGGTCGCGCCAAAGCGCCACAAAGCGACGCTACCCGCTCATGCGTGCGTCCGCCATTTCCTTCGTCTCACGTGTTCGCTACGACGTGTAAATCTCCGGCGCGATACAAACACCACGGCAAACGCCCGCAAGCTGGGCGTGCGCAAATATTTGGTGCGCTATTGACCCGCCGTTGACGGCACCTCCGTGGGAATTACGACGGCCGTGATATACGCCGTAATATATCGTATATATATGTATTTATGTTTGACAGTTTGCGCGGTTCGTCGATTTACCCGTTGGTGTATGTACATATAGAGGTGCGCATTTATTGAGCTGTGCGCCCATCGTCTACGGCTACGGCGACTGATGCTGGAGGATATTGAGACAGTAACCGACGGTAATGGGTGAAACCGTAAAGAGACCTAGAAATGACTTAAACTCTTTTACTTTTCATAGCATTTAATTTTTATTCACTCAGGCATTGTTGGAATTACTTTGGCATTACGCAGAATAAACATGATAAATATTATTTTCTTTGCCGATGTTTAAAATAATTTGTAGCATTTTGCAAACTGGACATACGCGTGTAATACTCGCGTAAATACAAAAAAATTTAATCAAAAATTTATATTATTACAAATAAAACATTTTTAGTAACGAAAAAACAAAACCGACATTAGTTATATTTATATAAATAAATATGTACATATGCATTCAGCTGAATATTAAACTACTGTACTGTAAATTGAACCTACGCTCTACTAAATCATTATCAACCACCAGCAACTACGTCAACCAGACTCGAAACATATTACGGTTGTTACGCAAAAATGTTATTTATCACATAGCATAACATTTAGTTTAATTTTGCACTTGGTTTGTGGTTTGAAATAAACGAAACGATTATTGCCCGCGACTACGTCTGCGTAAAATAGGCTGAAGGCGTAATATTCAGACAGAAAGACAGATATACATTAAAATATATGTATGAATTATAGCCTATGCCTTATTCTGATGTCATAAGCTATTAAGGATTTGCAACATATTTTCTAAAACTATTCAGAACAATTAATTTCGTCTCGCGTGCGCCTGTGCCCGTGCATAGTACAACAGTATAAACAATTTGGCCGCATCAAACGTGGCGAAATACAATTAAATTAATAAACAATGGGCCCGCTAGCCGCGCTCGCTGTGCGGCGTAACAATATAACGCGGCAATTCGGTATCATTAGACGCATACATTAGTTGGGACACGACACGTATTCTGTTCGCGATTTAAGCCAAACACACAGCCGGATTAGTAACGGCACAAAACAAACATTCGCGTAAACTCCGATATGAGTTATTATCGTTTAATTGCGTTACGCGCGAGCGTTTATGCATTATCGTGCTTTGTTTGAGTTTCCGTTGCCAAAATAGTTTGATTCGACTAATAATGCTTTTACACAGTGTTATGTGGTTTATTTTATTTTTATAAAGTTAGTCTACTTTCCTTAAGCCTTTTGTAAGATTTAGAGAAGGATTATCCAGTTTTGTATGGGTTTTCCAAACTCAAATAAGACCTATAAACGTTCTGTTCCGAAACATTTATTAGAATTTAAAGAAAAAGTTACCTCGGCTAGTATTCAGCCCCGAAGGCTAATGACAATGAAATTATCAGCATCATCTATAAAATCCGATATTCACATTATAAATATACATCATCATCATCATCATTTCAGCCTGTTTGAGTCCACTGCTGAACATAGGCCTCCCCCACAGACTGCCATGAAGCACGATCCTGAGCCACCTGCATCCATCGACTTCCCGCACATTTGCACAGGTATTTACTCCATGTAGTGGGGGGTCGTCCTACACTGCGATGGCCAGTACGAGGCTGCCACTCGAGAACCTTTCTTCCCCAATATACATAAATATATTTATGCAAAAATTAGATTCATTACATTTGAGCACTAGAAGTACCTAACGCAGTAGCCAACTTTTTTAAAAGGTGGCAACGCATGTACAACCCTACGGGTGATGCAAGTTTCAATGGGTGGCGCTTATCACTTAACATCAGGTGAACCGCCAGCTCGTTGGCGCCATCTTATAAGAAAAGTACAATCACTTTGTCAATTTAGTGCTAAGATATAAATAGTGCACAATGCAAAGCGTGACAATTTTATATACGCCTGGATTTACTGACATTTGTGCGAAGAGCGGATAGGGGATCGCAGTGATATCTGAATGTTGTCATCCAACTCCAACTAGTTCGTAAATGGCTTTTCGTCATGTCAATATCGGACCACAGTGCTGCGACTCTGGCTAACTCCCGACGTAATAAAGGGTAAACATACCGTGAAATGTTAAGAAAACCGCAGTCCCAAAACTATACGTCGCGCCAGTGCATATTGTCTTGTGCCCTCTCCATAACTAACCGCGACGCCAAAGTTCTTAACTTGTTCGTCGGGCGTAAAGTTACGTGTACACCGCGTACAAGTGTTTGACTAACAGACATCCCTTGGAACTTTCAGCTCGTGGCCACTTCGATGATTTAAGAAGATTTAAGTGGCGATGTGTTAACTCTGCTAAGGAATTTGCTACTAATTAACGTATAAAGTAAAATATCATATAAACGAAGGGTATAGTCCGCCACGCGTTCCTAGTGCAAATCAGAGGACTCCGTATCTTTTGCAATGCAAGCTTTTCCATGGACTTAAGTTTCATGAATGAACAATTACTCGGCTCTTATATTTGCAATTAACAATTTTATTAGTGCCGGCTCCAGGTTTCGAACTAAGGCTGTTCAGAGTTAAAGCGATTTGGACATATATAATTGTGCAACTATCCCAGTTCAGCTGATTATGCAAAATGCAGAAAATGTATAAAGACTGTCTTGCTCCATAGGCGAGCACATTACGTGGTATCGTATACAGAAAGCGTGGCCGAAGCTGAAAGATTAGTGTATTATGTCAGACGCCTTTAGGGATACCTTTGTCCAATAACATTATTAAAAATGTACGTTCCGTTAATTGCGACAAAGTAATAAATTTATTAAGAAACATTTACACCTGAAAAGAATCTTATTATCATTTTAAATCATCAACACCATTTCAGCATGTTTGAGTCCACTGCTGAACACAGGCCGCCCCCACAGACTGCCACGAAGCACGATCCTGAGCCACCTGCATACATCGACTTCCCGCACATTTGCACAGTTAACAATGTCACGTCCTAAGTTTAAATACAATCAAACTTTGAAATCTTATCACACAACCTTATTATTACAAGTAAATACTACTCCCATTAATACATACAGTTAAATTTACTTCAGCACCTTATGTCATTTAGCGGGATACGCTCACCGCAGCGCCGTCAAGTGAGATTTTTATAGCTTTTCGAATTGCTCGTAACTCTGTCAGCGATTTGTACTAAAGGATTGATAGAAGCCGTTAATACGACTCTCTACGACCTTACTCGCTCTGAATTTATTAAGTGGTCATAATATATCGCACCCATACATAATATAGTTATTAAATCCCTTCTTAACCTTATCTTTATTTTATGTTCTTGTTTTCAGTGCTTCTGCTGTTTTGGAATTGTACAGTTCTAACAGATGGCGCCTTAAATTTCTTGTAAGAATATAAACAGATTCGATTTAATGCACTGACTACACAACATTTTATATATTTCTAGCTGTTACCGCGACTTCGTCCGCATGGAATTTTAAATAGAAAAAAATTCTAAAATAAAAGTGGCCTAAATTACTCCTTATTGCATCAGCTATCTGCCAGTGAAAGTCCTGTCCAAAACGGTCCAGCCGTTTCAGAGATTAGCCGCTAAAAACAGACAGACAGACAGACAAAAATTGTAAAAAAAGTTATTTTGGTATATGTACCGTGTATACATCCATATGCATTTAGTAAAAAGCGTTTATTTTAATATTACAAACAGACACTCCAATTTTATTTATATGAGATCTTTTAGACGTTCTGGTTGCTTGCGTAAGTTCTACTAATTAAACCACTCCTCAATACGTTTGACACGCTTTGCTAAAATACTGGCACATGAATGAAATTATGATGATTAAACAATCGTAATCTTAACTTCTTTCATACTTTACTCGCGTATTTGATATTTTAAACAACTGTACTACTCGTGTATTTTCTGTTGTAGTTTTAACGTAATTTAATATTGCTGTCAGCTTGTCACTTAACACACCTTATTCCATATCATATGCTTAGTGAACACATAGACGTTTGTCTTTGGCACACGACTAGGATTCAAAGCAAAGTAACGGCCTATATATATCTCATTGCTGGGTAAAGGACTACAAAAAAGGCCTAGTCAGTGATTGGCTGACTTCACATATGTTCGAAATGTTACTTTTTGTTACTTCGAAAATATGCAGATCTCTTCACGATGTTTTCCTTCACCGCCGATCACGTGATAACTTGGATTCTTGCTTCTTGATTGCCTTTTGACAAATCATAAGTGAATTCACCTGGACACTAGTTCGAAACAGATCAAACCGCAAGCTCTTAAAATTGTGTTAAAATAATAATATCACATTATAAATGAAACTAATTTTACGGATTTATCGCGTTTATTTTTAATTTTAATTCCCGACGTTTCGAACCCTTTATATCACAGTTTCCGAAAGGTACGAATTCAAACAGCAAAAGCGAATGTACATATACAGGAATCCATTACTAGTGAAATTGTAACACAAGTTGATTAACACGAACTAATACGCTTCACAATGAACTTTAAGGGCGGGGGTTTACAAAACCGCTCCGCTTTTCGACTTGGCGTAATTACTGTTCACGCTCGTGCGGGGGAATTTTCACCGAGACTCCATCATCGCAAAGGTCGAAAATCCCACGGGGCAGGCTTTGCAAATTACGAACGTTAATAACATAAGAACTTAATACAATGAGCCCCCGTTTCAATGAACTCCTTCACTTAAAGCTAACAGCAGCTTAAGCTTTAGCCAATAGCAATCTAAACGGACGCGTATCCGAGTTTCGAATAGACCCTCTAATACACTGCGCGATACTCTTAAGAGATTTCTATACACGTTATAGTTATGAATTGTACTTTAATATTGATTTGAAATGAGTGATCGTTTTGCGTAAATAAACAAGTTAGTTTTGATCTAAATAATGTTATGAAACAAAAATAATTACAGTTCCCGTGAA